GTCCCAAAATCCCCCAAAATGTCCCAAAATCCCCCAAAATGTCCCCAAAATGTCCCCAAAATGGCCCCAAATGGCCCCAAAATGTCCCCAAATGGCCCCAAATGGCCCCAAATGGCCCCAAATGTCCCAAAATGTCCCCAAACGGCCCCAAAATGTCCCAAAATGTCCCCAAATGTCCCCAAACGTCCCCAAATGGCCCCAAATGTCCCCAAAATGGCCCAAAATGTCCCCAAACTGTCCCCAAATGGCCCCAAATGGCCCCAAACGGCCCCAAAATGTCCCAAAATCCCCCAAAATGTCCCAAAATCCCCCAAAATGTCCCCAAAATGTCCCCAAAATGGCCCCAAATGGCCCCAAATGTCCCAAATGTCCCCATATTGGCCTCAAAATGGCCCAAATGGCCCCAAATGGCCCCAAAATGGCCCCAAAATGGCCCAAATGGCCCCAAATGTCCCCAAAATGTCCCCAAAATGGCCCCAATGGCCCCAAATGTCCCCACTGTCCCCACTGTCCCCACTGCAGTGACCACGACCTGACCCCCTGGGGGCTCCTGGGGCCGCTCTCGCGGCTCCTGCGGCACCACCTGGACACCGGCGAGATCCCGGAACAGGTGAGGGGACACCTGGGGGACACCTGGGGACAGCTGGGACACCTGAGATACACCTGGGGACACCTGGGGACAGCTGAGACACACCTGGGGACAGCTGGGACACCTGGGGGGACATGGGGACACACCTGGGGACACACCTGGGACACCTGGGGGGACATGGGGACACCTGGGGACACACCTGGGGGGACATGGGGACACACCTGGGGACACCTGGGGACAGCTGAGACACACCTGGGGACAGCTGGGGACAGCTGGGGGGACATGGGGACACACCTGGGGACACACCTGGGACACACCTGGGGACACCTGGGGACACATGGGGACACCTGGGGGGACATGGGACACACCTGGGGACACCTGGGACACCTGGGGACAGCTGGGACACACCTGAGACACACCTGGGGACACCTGGGGGGACATGGGGACACACCTGAGATACAGCTGGGGACACCTGGGGACACCTGGGGACATCTGGGGACACACCTGGGGACACCTGGGGACACCTGGGGACATCTGGGGACACACCTGGGGACACCTGGGGACACCTGGGGACACTTCAGGGCCATTTCCAGAACTTTCAGGCCCATTTTGGGGCCGTTTTTGCCGTTCTTGGCTGCTTTGGGCTGGTTTGGGCCGTTCTTTGCCCGTTTTGGTCGTTTTTGGACACTTTTGGGGTGGTTTTGGGGTGGTTTTGGGGTGGTTTTGCTGCTTTTGGACACTTTTGGGGTGGTTTTGGACACTTTTGGGGTGGTTTTGCTGCTTTTGGACACTTCTGGGATGGTTTTGGGGTCATTCTTGTTGACTTCTGGCCATTTTTGTTGGTTTTTGTCGGTTTTTGGGGCCGTTTTTAGCCAGATTTTTGCCATTTTTGCCCATTGTTTGGTCGTTTTTTTGCCCATTTTTTGCCCATTTTTTACCCGTTTTTTGCTGGTTTTTACCCGTTTTTTTTCCCATTTTTTGCCAGTTTTTTGCCCGTTTTTTGCCCATATTTTGCCAGTTTTTGCCCATTTTTTGCCATTTTTTGCCGTTTTTTGCCCCTTTTTTGCCCATTTTTTGCCATTTTTTGCCCATTTCTTGCCGTTTTTTGCTGTTTTTTGCCCGTTTTTTGCCTTTTTTGCCCATTCTTTGGCCTTTTTTTGCCAGTTTTTGCCCATTTTTTGCCCATTTTTTCCCCTTTTCTGGCCGTTTTTTGCCTGTTTTTTGCAGTTTTTTGCCCATTTTTTGCCCATTTTTTACCTTTTTTTGCCAGTTTTGGCCCATTTTTTGCCCTTTTCTGGCCGTTTTTTGCTGTTTTTTGCCGTTTTTGCCGTTTTTTGCCGGTTTTTTCCGGTTTTGTGCCCGTTTTGGGCGCTGTCCCCCCCCGCAGGTGACGGTCCCGGCGCTCTCCTGCCTCTTCTTCCACCTGCTCTGGGAACTCTCCCGGATTCCCGACTCCGGAGCCGCCCCGGTGAGACGTTCCCAAAAATCCTGAATTCCTCCAAAATCCTGAATTCCCAAAAAAATCCTGATTCCCAAAAAAATCCCCAAAAAATCCTGAATTCCCAAAAAAATCCTGAATTCCCAAAAAAATCCTGATTCCCAAAAAAATCCCCAAAAATCCTGAATTCCCAAAAAAATCCTGAATTCCCAAAAAAATCCTGAATTCCCAAAAAATCCCATCCAAAAAAATCCTGAATTCCCAAAAATCCCATCCCCAAAATCCCAAAAAATCCCATCCCAAAAATCCTTCCCCAAAAATCCCACCCCAAAAAATCCTGAATTCCCAAAAAAATCCTGAATTCCCAAAAAATCCTGAATTCCCAAAAAAATCCTGAATTCCCAAAAAAATCCTGAATTTCCCAAAAATCCCCAATTCCCAAAAATCCCATCCCAAAAAAATCCTGAATTCCCAAAAATCCTGAATTCCCAAAAAATCCCAAAAAATCCCCAGTCCCAGAATCCCAAAAAATCCTGAATTCCCCAAAAATCCCAGAATTCTCCAAAATCCCTGAATTCCTAAAAATCCCAAAAATTCCCCAATTCCTGAATTCCCCAAAAAATCCCATCCCAAAATTCCTGAATTCCCTCAGTCCCACCCCAAATCCCAAAATTCCCCGAATTCCCCCCCAAATTCGGGGAATTCCCGTTATTCCTGCCCCAGAATTCCCGTTTTTCCCTGGAATTCCATGAGAATTCCCGTTTTTTCCCAGCAGGAGCGTCGGGAGTTCCTGTCCCGGGCGCTCTCCCTGTGCCCCCAGATCCCGAAATTCCCAAATTCCCACCCCAAATTCGGGGAATTCCCACCCAGAATTCCATCAGAATTCCCGTTTTTCCCTGGAATTCCATGAGAATTCCATCAGAATTCCTGGTTTTTTCCCAGCAGGAACGTCGGGAGTTCCTGTCCCGGGCGCGCCGGGCGCTCTCCCTGTGCCCCCAAATCCCGAAATTCCCAAATTCCCCCCCAAATTCCGGGAATTCCCGCCCAGAATTCCATCAGAATTCCCGGATTTCCATGGAATTCCATGAGAATTCCATCAGAATTCCCGTTTTTCCCTGGAATTCCATGAGAATTCCCATTTTTTCCAGCAGGAGCGTCAGGACTTCCTGTCCCGGGCGCGCTCGGCCCCCAAATCCCCAAATTCCCCAAATTCCCCCCCAAATTTGGGCAATTCCCGTTATTCCTGCCCCAGAATTCCATCAGAATTCCCGGTTTTCCATGGAATTCCATCAGAATTCCCGTTTTTCCCAGCAGGAGCGTCGGGAGTTCCTGTCCCGGGCGCGCCGGGCGCTCTCCCTCTGCCCCCAGATCCCCAAATTCCCAAATTCCCACCCCAAATTCGGGCAATTCCCGCCCAGAATTCCATCAGAATTCCCGGATTTCCATGGAATTCCATGAGAATTCCATGAGAATTCCCGTTTTTCCCCAGCAGGAACGTCGGGAGTTCCTGTCCCGGGCGCTCTCCCTGTGCCCCCAAATCCCGAAATTCCCAAATTCCACCCCAAATTCGGGCAATTCCCGCCCAGAATTCCATCAGAATTCCCGTTTTTCCCTGGAATTCCATGAG